TTTTTTTTTGTGAAATTTGATGTTAATAAAATGATACCAGGAGCATATCATTTCACAGTAATTTATCTCCCCAAAGTAATGGTTCAGTAGGGGTGACACTTCTATTGTCCAGTGTGTGTATGTATCATTGTGACCCTACGCCTGAAGGAACATAAAAATTACCGTAATTGTGTAGTCATTGTCGTCACAAGTCTCCAGCTTTCGTCTAAATCTCAATGTGGTAAACGTGCCGTTGTCAGTCCCTCCCAATACCTCCACGTCCTGGCTCTCATCTAGCAACGGTTGCTCTTCACCGATGGCATGGTAATCCTATATAGTCAAATATATATATATATATATATATATATATATATATATATATATATATATATAAGTCACAACTGTATGAGGTTTTTGAAAGCTTTGTCGGCCTTGTTTGATCTATTAGAAGTTTTCACTGAAAACAATTAATTTTGTAAATTTTAAACTAGACTTAGAGAATTTAAAAAAGAAAAGAAAAATGAGTAGTATTCTTCGTAAAAACAAAGAGCACTGTCACAATCACCAAAATGTGTTAAAATGAATATCAATAAGAAGAAACGATTGATATAATTATCAATATTCCGGTGGAATGAAAACCTTGAACGCCCTGCTATTTTGCTATTTTGATTAAGATTAAAATTTGAATGTTTAATATTTTTGTACTTATCCAGTGGGGTCTTAACCAATCCCCATCTCTAAAGGGATGGGGAGACCCAGGCTCCCCAAAGCACATCGCATATTCTGTATTGCATGTCCCCCCGTTTCTAAAAATATCCATGGTCAAACAAGAAGTAGGATATACATGTATGCGTAGCATAGTTTTACGAGTGTCGTTTGGGGTCTCTCTGCGGTCAATGTAACAGGTGGAAGATAAACAACGGCGATGACGTACATTGCCTGTCATATTAATTTATTGATTCAAAGGTATTTTGAGTCTTGTTTTCTGAGACAAAAAGAGACAAACACTGATCAGATAAGATAGGCATGCTTTGTGCTGGCCAGTGCCTTTACTATGTAGTCTGCATCATTTGCATAAGTGAAAGCAGTAGGTGCATAGGTTTCGTTAATATAATGCAAAGCTATAAGTATTCTCCTCACTGACGAATGCTTATCAGGGTAAATAGCACATGTACATGTAGCTGTGCATGTCAAATGGATCTTTTGGAAGAGGCATATCCTGTGTAGGGTATGAAGGACATCGTAAATAAGAATATACTGACTTATACCAAAGTATCATTCATGCTTAATGCTTACTAAGGTGACTGTCATTTACATAAATATTAACAAGCCCATTGTTCGGATTGAATGTCCCACCGTTGAATTTATTTACTACGCACATGATATGGGTATGTCAAAAGCAGGGTATGTTTACTGCGGGAAGTGAATGGTGAAAATCAAAACCTTAAGCTATCCAACTTCTTGTGTCTTTCTTCTCTCTTATCGTCAAGTGATATGTGTGTACCAGAAAGTTGGACACCAACTTCTAAAGCACTTGTTACTAAGGACTGGCGACTGTGGAGATGACGAAATTTGGCCCTCTTTCACCATTAAAAAAGTGTGCCATAGTTCTTCCTCCAGTCCAGAATACAATCACACCAAGCGCATACTTTGAGAAAAAAAATGCCCAGACGCAGACAAAAGCGAGGGCTTTGTTAGATTTACGCCGGCGCTCTTCTCTCGAGAATGCAGGCAGACATCGCTGTACGTTCGCACACCAGGAGGGAGATAAAATGTTTTGAGCGCGTTCAAAAACATTCATACGCTGCTTGTGCATGTTTTTTTTTCTTACAGTACGCTGGAAGCAAGGTGATTTCATACGCTCAAAATTGTGTGTGCAATCGCCGTCACATGCGATAGACATACAGTACGTACGTCTGCGCAAGGTGGGACACAGCCTTACAAAGGTTGAACAGTCTGAAAATTAGGGTTTTCTTGTATTTCTCATATACAAATTATAAAGAAAAATAGATTCTTTTACCTGTATTATGACTTCGCCATCATTAACCCATCCAATGATAATGTCTGATCCTGCCATACCGCCATTTGTTGAAAATCCCAAGGCCACGTATCCTGTAGTTCGCGCAGTGGTCTCAAACGTTATGTATTCTCCATTAACTTTCCAGCGAACGTAGTAATCCCCGTCTCTCAGGGCTGTATGGAGGGTGAACAGACTAGCATCGCCAGAATCTTGTACGGTAGCCGCCCTGTTCAAATATGTCGCCAGTAAAATGCATATAAACTTAAAATCCCATCGAAAAAACTCTGTGGCTCCCATATTTCCTTTGAAAAGACGGACGAGGGCTCTATCAGTCAATTACAAACTCTTACTTTTCTTGTCTCGAATATTTGAAGCTCTGCTAATCAGTGGTGGCAGCCTCTTTGAACGATGATGAAAATAGTTTAATTTTCTTTTCGCTCGAACGTCGTCCTTTAAATAGCCCGGTCAGTTGTCTGTAATCTATATTTATTTATCTCACTTTCACGCTCCACCTCCCCTATGACGTCATCTAGGTGACAAAGGCAATGTTATAGCGAGTCAACGTACTGAAATAACAAAAGTAGCCCAAATTAAATTAACTCATTTTATGGGCAAAAATGTTCAGTAGCTTGCTAGTTGGATCATAAAGGAAAATTATCAAACACAAGCCGAAAAACTTTCATACCGTTAGCTTACGGCCGCCAACCTGGATGTACGCCTTCTTCAGACTGATGTGACCAGATGGTGACACTCATGTCTTACAAAGGGAAGGGTGGTCGATCTACCTGAATTTTATAAAAGGGTCCTGGCTGCTCTACCACCTAGCGGTCAGTGAGTGTCAGCGTCTGCTCATATCAGTCTGACGAAGACCTGTGTCCAGTTTGGCCGTTAGCTAACGTTTTTCGGTTTGCGTTTGATAATTTTCATTAATAATCTATTTTATATTTCACATATCATCTGTTTTTATGATTTCTTCTAAAAATCATTTGATCATAACAGCGGTCATCATTATACTGTTATTGCATACTTATAGGTTCAAAGTTTTCATTAATAGGTTGATGCTAAAGTATTGCATGAAAATATAATAAGCATCACAGCTTGTTTCCTTACTGAAACGTACTACTGGTATAATATACACACACTAGACAATAGAAGTGTCACCCCCTGAATCAGAGTAATCATAGTTATAATGCCTAGTCTACTTATAATGTGACTAATGAGTATAAAATCGCTGTACCATGGAATTGTATTGCTGGTCTTTTTGTGAAATTTGATGTTACTAAAATGATACCAGGAGCATATCATTCCACAGTCATTTATCTCCCCCAAAGTACTGGTTCAGTAGGGGTGGCACTTCTATTGTCCAGTGTGTGTAGATACCGGTAAAGATGACAGCATTGATAACTGGATTGACAGCGCCGTTAGTGTCACATTGTTATCTGGCAAAATTTGCTACTAACCCCAGGGAACAAAAGGTCTGGCACTTAACAACCAAGTTGATAAAATCACAAAAACGAGGGTAGAAAATAAATTATACTTTCCTAACGATGTCTTGTTCAGATTCTTGACTAAGGGGTGCGTTACTGGTGTCAAGGGCCAAGTTCTGAACTTAGGGGTTTGGCATAACAATGGACATTCCTCTCGATTTCTGCTCAAATCCAATGAAGCATCATGATCAGTTGCCAAATTTTGCGAAATTTTCAGTATCTACAGGTTGTGTTGTTCTATGCTTGGGGTCTCTTCTCTGCCGGCGGTTAATCTGGGACACCTGTGCGGCCTGTCATCGTACCTAGACTCACTTTTGCAAGTGCCATAAACACATTAAAAATAACCTTGTCGCTCAAAGTTATTCTATCATTATTGGCTTTTATGAACATAGTTCCAGCCTAGATTATAAACCCGTATAGGCAACCGAGCAAGGGAAAACGAGTACTGAACTGCTTCTCGCTTCTTTACTCCCGATTTTGCTTAATTTAAAGATGACAGATGTGGAAGACATAATGTTTTTTATTTTTAAAACATTCTTGTCATACCGTGTATATACTTCGATTTAAAGCGTTTTTTTTTTAAATAAATCATATGGCAGGGATTATTCTTAATAACTTTATAGGGAATGTAATGCATTTGGCATGGTGTTTTAACCATATGATTTTTTATGATTTAAGGAAGGTCAGGCCTTATACATATTCTACAATATACAATTAATGTTGGACGTCAAAATATTGCCCTTGATTTACAATGTAGAGCAGACAACTTTTCATCACTGAGTAAGGTGCGAGTGGTGACGTAGCTGCGCTAATTACCAGATTGTGCATTGCGACTTTGTGTGGAACAACTAATGCAATTTTCCAGTTTGTTGGCTGTGCCAATTTTACCACTAGCTTGATTGTGCATTGAAACGCCCCGTGTAACATCTCAAGTATCTGCGCCGTTTTTGGGCAGGTGTGCTTGTAAGCCGTTCTCCTCCTTATCGTCACACTTGATAAACCACGAGTGGTTTTTACCATTAAATGTATATTGGTCTGCTTTTCTGTTTTGTTTGTTTGTTTTATGTCGTACTTGTAAATCACAATAAGTATGTTTGACCACCGTTGAACCTCACTATTGATTAACTTTGGCTACAGTGTGGGGTGACTTTATACAAAATGTGCAGTGGGATGTAAACGTAACAGACTACGCCTGCGTAACTCACCTTACAGCAAATGTCTTGATCATTGTAGTTTGGTAGTATTTTTAGGGAGTTTTTATGGGTGTCAACTAATCTGATAATAAATCGATTACTATTATCAATATTTTTATCATCATTACCCAAATAACTTTTTGTCTCGAAAAAAATATTGTGGAAAGGTTCATTTTGTTGGTAAAAGCTGAAATTCAATATCTTCGAGTAACTCGAACACATTTCCCGGGTCCAGAGTTACTTGAAGCCTTCTTTTAGTACTATTTACACTGTTCAAATAATAATAATAATAATAATAATAATAATAATAATAATAATAATAATAAACTTTATTTCTATTTAAAGGGTAACATATTAAAATTAAACAACTGTCATATCACATGTTCTCTTTAATGTGTATATAACCACTTTGGTTGACGTCAAAAAGTGTAATTTAAATCAATCTTTCTTCAATTCTTTTTCAGTTAACTTTTGATTTTCTCAGTTGACGATTTTTTCTGTTCGGACACCTAATTTACACATTTTGTCCTCTATCTTAGAATTACACATAACAGCCACTGAAACGTGCAATGGTGTTTCCAAACAGTAAGGGTCAAGGATATTTACTTGTCTGCCAAAATAAGAGCATTAAGTTGCCTTTAAGTGTTTTGACACTTTAACCCTCAATCNACAAACATACTGGTAGTGACCACCCACATCTACCTGTAGAACCACCGTTTATTAGGATTCTATTGCACATGCATCTGAAGCTGGGTATTGAACAGTCGGGAAAATACAGCAGAACTCGTATAATTAGGACTCATTCCCAATTCTTTATACGCAGATCGACCCAGCTCCGCGGGGACTCTTGCTGAATGCAATCAGTTTAGCAAATTAACACACCTCCTCTTGTTTCCATTGCACACGTATAATCACCTGCTTTTCTGTATTCTATTTAACTCCAGGAGGAGGCGTGCTTGTCTGTTAGCCTGATTGCATTAAGCGAGAGACCCCGGCGTGTAGGATCGATCTATGTAGAACGATAGCTTCCTTGGGTATGCGCCCTTAGACTTCTAGAAAAGCATTCACAGCAAACTGCTTCTATTTTTCTTCTGCCCTTCCCGTAAATTGAAAAATAAAGAGAAACATAACCGAAATACCTGACAACTGCTATATTTAAACAAAACTGATAATATATTTACCCTATCTCCTTCTCAAAGACACAAATGAAAAAATAAATACAGAAACAGCTCGATTAAATATACAATATAAATTAGATTGGATTGAAAACGGACATATGAAAATAGAATGCATGGGATGACCTACCGAATTGATTAAAGTAAAATGATAATAGCAATTTAAATTGATTATCCCCTATGGAATATCATCTACTGGGAATAAAACAATCACGGTAAAGCTATTCGATTCTCGATGTTTTCTCTTTTCATACGGATTGTTAGACAACTTAAAGTGACATCTCAACTGACCTGACAGTATTTGCAATGAAGTGAAAATAAACGGCTAATTAGTATTAAAATACCAATTGTCACCACGACTTATAAATTGATATCACGGTATGCCATATCACATCAACGATATCAGCGATAACAAGTACTAAGAACTGATAAATGTCTAATTATTTGGCGTCAGTCAAGTTCACGTTGTGCACCCGAAACTAAAGGTAGGTGACTTTATTAAAGAAAAGCACCGGCAGCTATTAAAAAGAGTATCCGTTAGAAGGGTTTAAAGCAAAGTTTTTCAAACGAGCTGCGAATAATAACTCAATTTCCATTACCCGACTATTTTCATTGTTAATACAACAGATCTTGATGTTAAAAATTCTAACTTAGTTATCGATGTACGGTGTCACATAAGTTATGAAACATTACAACAGCAATTAAAAAAGTACTCCTCAATTGAGTGAGGTATTTTGAAGGACTTTTCCTAATCTCCCCCCAAAAAAGTGGATCAAAATAGTTGATATGTAAATTATTCTTTAAAAAACTAAGTTTCATTTGTAAGCATCCAAAACTGTCAAGAGGTCCCAGTTACACGGACCCTCAGTTTGGTCAAGCATTGGAACAATGGGACTACATTTGCTGCTGAGGGTAAGCTAAGCTTCACCATACATACATGTACGTCCAGTAAGGGAGGCTGATCCTGAGAATGGTCAACCCAACTTATATGTTAACGCGCCTTCAGGGTAAATCCACGAATTGTTTGAGAAAGTCGAACGAGTGACACATTCTACTTTGATAAATTATTTTACGTGATGATTGATTCCTTGCTTTAACCTGTTTTGGCGGTGCCACGCACTGGGGTTCGGCAACGCTCAGGTGATGGGGGGCGGACTTCGGCATGCGGGGTTTTACTCGAGAAGTTGTTTTGGCAGTGCCGCTCACGAGCTGTCGGTATTACATTTAGGTGATCCGCAGCGGATTTAGGTGCGGTGACCCAAAACTTATCCTGTGGTTTGGCGCTGTACGAAGACGGAAGAGGGGGCGGGGCGCGGAAAGGGGGGGGCGGGGGGGGGGGGGGGTAGGGAGGCTAACTGGCAATGCCAAGCTGGGGTTTAAGGGCATATACACCCTCTCTTAAAATTGCTAGACGAATAAAAGATAAAGAGGATAAAATAAATGAAGTGCTGCTGCTGATTTTTATATTGTAAACATCGAAAGGTAATGAAGAACGCGCGCGTGTGCGTGTGTGTGCGCGTGCCTGCTAGGAAGGTAGGGGCTGGGCAGAGGAAAACCGCCACATGTCACTAGCTAGTTACGCCGATTCACAAGCAGTTCTACATGTAGTCCACTTGCCATGTTTGTGTTCCTCGCGATAGCTAATTCTACTTTGAGAGTGGTAATTAAAATGTGAAGCTATTACTCTGTACCTTTGATTAGTTTGCTGTGAAATGAAAAGGACATGATGGTAAGCATTCAGTAGCAAATACATAATGCGAACTTAAAAACAAAGAAGTCGATAGTCAATTTTTGACAGTCAAAAGATGAGTTTGCAGCACTACTTGCCGAAACTTGTGTCATGCAGTGGATATTTGCAAATATTCGCGATCATGGACTTGAAGTCTTCAACTCTAAATGCCCTGACGTTAATTTTATAAGGACATACGCAAGAGGGTACGTATCACCTCACACATACAATACAAACACATCCCTGTTTGCATACACAAGTTGTAATTTTTTTAGCTTGTTTATAATCTATTGTATAGGTTGTCAACCGCTGAAAATTCTGCCATCCGTTATTTAGGCCTGCAGATACTAGTGCAGCGCGAATGCTCATACACAATGCGATAATCTGGGTAAGTGTTTATGTTGTAGTTGAAGTTACCTTTGCATACTTTGACCTTTTGTGGTAAATTTACACATTTATGACAGCAGAGGCTCAATTTCTTATCTACTGCCACCACCCTGTGTCAGTAAGCACAATTTGCTCTCGCTTAAAGGCAAAATACGCAACACCATGTCAGAAAAACGATGTTATGTTGATAGTTAGGAAGGATGGAGACGAAGTTTTTTGGGGTCATCTATGATCATCAACATCATTATCTCTGAAAATATAATGCACGATTTTACCATCTTGAGTCAAGTGCAAATCATACGCTGTCACGCAAAGGTTATGGCATCTACAGGTAATTGGCGGGTAANTTAATTTTATAAGGACATACGCAAGGGGGTACGCATCACCTCACACATACAATACAAACACATCCCTGTTTGCATACACAAGTTGTAATTTTTTTAGCTTGTTTATAATCTATTGTATAGGTTGTCAACCGCTGAAAATTCTGCCATCCGTTATTTAGGCCTGCAAATACTAGTGCAGCGCGAATGCTCATACACAATGCGATAATTTGGGTAAGTGTTTATGTTGTAGTTGAAGTTACCTTTGCATACTTTGACCTTTTGTGGTAAATTTACACATTTATGACAGCAGAGGCTCAATTTCTTATCTACTGCCACCACCCTGTGTCAGTAAGCACAATTTGCTCTCGCTTAAAGGCAAAATACGCAACACCATGTCAGAAAAACGATGTTATGTTAATAGTTAGGAAGGATGGAGACGAAGTTTTTTGGGGTCATCTATGATCATCAACATCATTATCTCTGAAAATATAATGCACGATTTTACCATCTTGAGTCAAGTGCAAATCATACGCTGTCACGCAAAGGTTATGGCATATACAGGTAATTGGCGGGTAAGGGTTTAATGATATCTTCGGAGACCCCCCTCCCCCTGAGTAATTCTCTCTTTCATAACTACATGTCTTTACACGGGGTAACACTATTTAACATAGGCGGAATATCATTTGCCTCTCATTTATTTAACGGTGGTCTATAAGGAATCTACAGGCAAAATGAATTCTCCTTGAGAAAAAAAGGTAATTTTTTCCAACCCGCAAATCATTGCTCGATCCGACCCTGCTCTAGGTTTCGATGTTTTATTCCATTTATTTAATGACTTCTTTGTAAATGATTGGTCAGTCATTTACATGTTGAATGCTATATCTTCCTGTACTTTCAGAAGGAACTAACGACGCCAGGTACTTAAATATGAGGAGTTATATAGTTTTAAGGACTGAATTGGGTAAAATTTTAGCTTTGCAGGATATGTAGATATAGAATATATGACTTCGAGAAATTTCCAAACGCGTACAGTGTACCTCTAATGCATATTACCGATATGTTTACCAAAATACTCATTGTTTTTTTAGTGGGATTCTTTGCCGAGGTAACAAAACAAAATAAAAACATGATTTTCAGAATAAAACAGAAGTGAGACTAAAAGCTTTAAAAACTGTCATATTATTTGCTCATGCAACATCCAACTTGGTGTGTTGAGATGAAAGCCGTTTAATTAATCTAGATCGATCTATCCCTGTGGCGAGTCTCACTAGATTACTGTCAGCTTGGCCGGCTTAAGCGTCTGCCCCGCCTACTAAAAGCTGTAAGGGGGTAATTAACTATGGTGCCCGCTCGGCTGACTGCAATTTAGCGTGAACCCCCAGGGAGTTAGGTCGATCTAAATCTTAATCTTTAGATCGATCTAAATCTCTGGGAAAACACCCTAAGGCTTCGTTCACATGCAATGTCTATTTTCTAAATTCTATTTTCTATTTGCGGTATGTCTTATGATCACGGTCTGTGGCCTGAATATCCCGCGGCGTAATTACTGGCAGCGCGAGCCAGTTACTATAAGTTACTATAAGTAACTGGCTCGCGCTGCCAGTAATTACGCGGCGGGATATTCAGGGCACAGACCGTGATCATAAGATAGCGCAAATAGAAAATAGAAATTAGAAAATAGACATTGCATGTGAACGAAGCCTAAGTTAATAGGTTGTTGGAATATCACATATTTCTCGTGCTAAGAGGAGAGGAAGATGTAATAACCTTCATTATATCTAAAAATATTTTTTCTTAAGAGTAATTAGATTCCTTTAGGATGAGAATTCCAATCTGGGCAAAAATAAGAATAATGTAAATTAAAATTAAGGTAAATATACTAATTTTCATCCCATGCCGCCCTTAATGTATCGTTAAAAATATTGTTGCATAAGTTCAGGGAGAGGAAGTAGAAACATTTCGATTATCAAAAAATCGTGAACCGCTTATTAAGCCAAGTTTTTCCTCTAGTAGGGAATAAGTTATTTGTGGATATGTAAAATATTCATAAGACTTTCAGCAAAAAGGAGACCTCTTGCCTATTATGATACGCCTGACTTACCTGGTTCTCATTAAAGCGAATGAACTAAAAGGGGTAATCATCAAATATGCAACACTTAAAACCGTAACGAGGTAACGGGGTTAGGACGCTGTTAAGTATGTCTTTAAAAGGCAAATGAAAGAATTTAAGCAATTCAAATGGTAAGCTCCTGACACCATTTTCAAAGACCACTGCACTTCTGTTACACCCTGAGTTACCCCTTGTAACTCGCCTTTCTACCATCAGCATCGGCATTTTCTCAACCGCGAATTAATGCGGGAGTAATGCGATTTCAATAATCTCCTGTAGATACGGACAGGTTAACGGAATTGCGTTCTCAATTTAAAATGCGGTGTTTGCAACGTATTTCACAAACTGATCAGGAAACCACGGTCTAAGGCATTTTAATTTAGAATTCGGCGATCGATATCACAAATCGGCGGCTCCAAGTCTCAAGCGACAATTTCGATTATAAGGCCTGTGTACGCCTCTGAATTTCCCAATGACTGCAAATATTAGTACTTAGTAACTCAGGGTGACAGGTGGAGGATCTCTTGGTATCTGGGTGAAAACAAAAGAAGCGAACTGGAGACGGTCCAGCCCGAACTGTGAAAAGGACGTAGTTTTGTGAACATTTTATCCGACCGAAAATATCCTGGTAATTCGTTGCATCGATATTAAAAATGCCGCAAGTCGCCACCTGTTTCGATCGGTATACTTTTGCGGTGCATTCTGTACCGATACAAAATCCTGTCATGTACATACATTCGAGAGGGGGGGGGGTCACATTCACAAGTTCGCTTCCCACTTTTTGGGTGGACGGAAGTTGATTAATTAGCAGTGGCGAGTACGGGGCTCTGTTTAGGCGACTCTTTTACCAGGCTGTTAAGCTGCCAACCTCCTAAACAGTACCGTAACTTGGAGACTGTACCATTAAACTAGAACAATCGATGTAAATATATTGAGCCTTTGTGTAGACCGCTGATGTAAAAAGGGCTTATTTGTAAAAATATTTTTGAACGGCGTGATTTTTGGACTATTCTTTCCAGGTAAGTAACTTTCTTTCTTTCTTTCTTTCTTTCTATCTTTCTTTCTTTATTTATTTATCTGTTTTTGGCTACCTGCCCATATTCACACCTACCCAACATTATATGGTTCTAGTTGCAGTATACCAGAAGACTTAGGTTGAGTAATAAAGGTTGGTTAATTATTAAACACCAATCATTCAGGAACAGTTTCACACAGCGGACCAATTTATTCAGAAACAAAACGTAATACGAATAAAAATTGATCATTTTTTCATTTTTTTTTACTTCTCCTCCATATATTTTTTGCGGTTTAATCGGTATGAATGCATCGCTGTCAACAGGCTTTTTATTCCACTCCCTTTTGATCAAAATTTGTACATCAGTTTTTTTCCCGGCGGACGTGCTGTTCTTTGTAAATAAATACGCTTTTACAACAAGAGAAGAAATTACGAGTGTAACAGCCGAGAGTGCTTAGCAATATCATTGACTTAATGTTTACCGAGAAGTAGGCTACTTTGTTTAAGTTAGGCCATCACTGAATTATTCATATTTGCGCATGTGTGAAAGGACACTCGTTCCCGTCGTCTGTCATAAAATATCGTCGCTGAAGACAACGCGCGTATTATTTACCAACACATTCACGGAGATGGTTGAATCCAAATACAAGCCCATTGGGATCAATGAGTTTCGTAACCCACTATTCTACCGGGCCTTCGCAGCCGAATTTATCGGCACCCTCCTCCTTGTACTTGTAGGCTGTGGGGCAATCACTGGCGACCGTTCGCCTGTCGTGGCGCAACTACAGATTTCTTTGGTGTTCGGATTCACGGTGGGGACTATAGTATGGATTTTTGGCAACTCCAGTGGAGGGCACATCAACCCAGCGGTGACGGTAGCCATGTGGGCCGTCGGCAATATCACCTTCGTGAAAGCGGTGTTTTACATCGTAGCGCAAGTCACTGGAGCGGTCGGGGGAGCTGCCCTTCTGAACGTTCTCACCCCGGCCAACGCCACCGACGGCGGCAAGAAGTTGGGAGCCAACCTCCTTTCCCCCGGGGTTACCGTGAGCCAGGGCGTGGGCATCGAGATATTCTGCACTCTCGTATTGGTGTTCACGGTGTTCGCGGCCTGTGACGGAAGTAGGACTGACCTGTCCGGCTCCCGGCCACTGTCCATTGGCATTGCCGTCACCATGGCACATCTGTATGCGGTGAGTGCTTTCATAGGGTAGAGGGATTTTTATTTTATTTGGAATATGAATATCAGAATCTGTTTTGGATTTGGGTATATGGAAAATTTATGCGAACCGATTTACGAAGTACATCAACAAAACATGAATACAATCAAAGCAATCATGAATATTCGACGATTCCCTAAATGTCTTTTCCATTACCTATCTCTCGTGGCATAAATGCGTGCATGTGTGTTTAGTAATACGGTGACTGCATGCCACTACACGTTACAACTTTGGTTACTAAAATTATAGTTTCATTATTACAATCAAATTTACATAAAAATCTGAATTACATAAATCATAACTTAGAGGGAGGTGGTGTTCATTATACTAAATTTATAGTGAATAATCGCTCTGAAAGAATATTGGAGGCTAAAGGATTGGGTTTATGAGTAGTTTAGGGGGTGGGGTGGGGCGTTCCCCCCCC